GGCTTGTGTATATCGTATATATACATATATACTATTCATACCTTCAGATGCAAGCAGAGTTTGACATCAAATTTTGGGGTAAAAAAGTGAGTCTTATACACCGAAAAATACTGTATTTATTTTTAATTACATAAGAATTTTTTAATGAATGTAAGTATTTTGTTTTTTAATGGTTTAATTGTATATTCTATATCATTTATTGCACCTTTTCATATTCATGTGAAAATTATAGTAAGATATTTTAGATTAAGCATTGTATTTCATGATGTTATTGATACAACTTGTAACTGTAATTATTTGTTAGACTTTGTTCAAATATATGATATATATATATATAGAGCTTATAAAGATAGTGTTGACTTATGTGTTACAATTTGAAGGGACAACAGATGGCATCAAAATGTTACTCATAAGTAGTCTTTTTGTGAAAACCTTTGGTTAGACTAAACTAACCTGAGTATGAGTTAAATAACCAATCAAGTTCACTAGTTACAGAAAATTCTATCAACAAAGATATGTGTATTTACTTGCATGTCAGTCTGATACTTCAAAAGTATTTAATATTATACATGTAAATGTGAAGACCTTGCTACATCATATGCAATGTTTACCTTCTAAACTTAATCCCTTTGATTATCAGTGTTTTTTCAATTAACTAAAGCTATAATGCAAATGTCTGTTAATGATCACAAGTCATATCAGTTAATAATGAGTATAACTATAACTTGTAAGTTATAACTAAAAAAACATGTAAAATGCTAACATAATAGCAATGAAAATTATTTAGTTATCTGACATACATTGACCTGCATTGGGGTACAAGCAGTCTGCTAAAATCCTTGTGTATGTGAATAGAATGCACCAGAAATGCAGAAAATAGTCATGTAGCTAAACTGAAAGTATGTTTACTGAAGATGTCTGTAAATATTCCCAAAGACAGAATAATGCTTTACTTTTAAAAAAGAAGTTATTTTTTCTTACCCCCATATGTTACTTATTAAAGTTGTCACCACTCAGTTAACTTTAATAATAATTAAAATATGTAGTTAACTGTAATAATAACTATAAATAAAATTAAACTATTACCTATAAGTATAACTATTAACTAAAAACGCATAACTCAAAAACACTTGGTTATTTGATTCTCCTGAATGACTGTTGTTATCTAAGTATGTATGCAATGCAACTACAACTGATTTCAAAGTATAAGTAGATATGATGAAGTATTGTAATGTGTCACAATGAGCATCAGTATATGATTTGTATAAATAAATAAATGAAACATTAAGCCACAGCGTCCAATTAATATAGAGGCAAAATGGTTATGAACCTGGAAAAGGAGGTAAGAAAAAAAAAGACAGGAAATTTTTTAAAGTATTCCGAAATCTGGAAATGTTGGGGAGAACTGTAGCCTGTCCTTTTCTTTTTTAATCACACACACAAACCATACTGCTTTGATTTGCTACATTGGTATATTTTAACATGCTCTTGATTAATTTTTCTGTTATTTTATCTGGTGAGTGTTATCTAATTTATTACATTTGATGGTAGGTCAGACCAAATATTCTTTTATAACTACAAATGCAATGTTTTAATGTTGACCATTAAGTTCAATGCCCTTGTTTGAGAATTTTTTTTTTTAATTTTTACAGTACCTTAGTCAGAATTAATTACATTTTGAAGCTTTCTTTTAACCTTTATAACCAAATTAGAACTAAATGATATTAATTAGGAAAAGTTATGAGAAAAACTGAAATATTATTGTGTTGTGTGCATATAAACTGTGAAGGTCTGCAAGACTATATCCACCCTCTTGGGATATATCATAACATTAATTTTGGGAAGAAAAAATATTGTATTTTGTATTGGCATTATTGAAATTAGACCAATATTGATTCTGTTGAGACAGTTATTGATGAAAGAAAAGAAAATTGCATGACCAGTGGCTGACATAGTGTTACCAATATTAACCCTTTGATATTTCAATTCACAGGGACCAGAATGGCATACTTTGATAATTATTACTTATTAAAGGAACATTACTTGATACAACTAGTTTCTATTCCCAGGAATTGTATGGTTGTGTTTCAGAGCTGGGCAATTAATTGATGTAATTGATTAGCTGTGAGAATCAGATGGTGCCACATAAAATAGTTCATTAATCGAAGTTATGATTAAATCAATTAATGCCATAAAAATAATCAGCTAATTAAAAATAGTATTGTCAATTAATATTGTTTTTTGATTATTCCAACTATCCAAGTAATCATAATATTCCCATTATGATTTCTATTTATTATTTTTGATTAACATAAGGTTATTCAGCTTAATCAATTAGTGACATGACTTGCAAAAGTAATCAAATTTAGTGTTTCCATTTATTACTTTTTCAATTATTCCAATTATCCAAATCTTCTGTAAGAATAATTGATTAATTGAATGTAACCAATTAATAAGCCCAATGATTAATCAATTATCTATTCCACCAGTTGCTCAGCCCAGTTTTCCACACTAATTTCAATAATATAGGGTTTGCAACACCTTTTTGCAATAAAATATACAATAAGTCAGTTAACTACAACATTTTTGATATTTCCAATATTCATGATTTCTTGGGAATACAAAATGCCTGATCATGAAAGGGTTAGTGTGGTATACACCTATTTTATATATTAACATTTTGCATTGATAAGTCTCAAGGACGGTAATAAATGTCTTCTTTTATAACCTCTCTTCATTTAAATCATTCTATATGACTGGGTCAAAGTGTTCATGTCACAAACTTTTACATAATTTCATTCAAAACTTAATTCAGCATCTTTATTATCAGTGTATGTCAATAAACTAGGCATCAAAGTATAGTTTATAATTCAGATTTTTTTTATTGTTTATGTGTGTATTTCTTAGTTTCAAAAATAAATTCTTAAACAAAATTGTAAATCTTCTCTTCTTTTACACAAATTATGTTTCTGCATTCTGAATTTTCTCCTTATCAATTTATTTTTCCATAATGTGGCTTTTCAAATGTCCAAGAAATTAGAAACACAAACTATACAAAATTACAATACAAAATAAAAAATTTGATCTTTCTAACTTCTTGATTTACTGAAATATCAATAAGTTTGTCAAACCCACCAGAGAAACCCCTCTCCACCTTGTCGTTACTTTATTCTTTGCTAATAAATTCAAGTAGTATAGTTTCATACTTCCAAGGTGGGTCAAACTAACCCACTTTCTAAGGAAACTTATTAAGCTTAATAATAAACTTAATAATTACGATAGCTGGTAAAAAATATGCAAGATCCCTTTCATGAATTCTTCTGGTTTGAAAGGGGAAAATGTTTTAAAAGTGTAACAAGTTCTCAGAATTATGACTATTAACTACTTTATATTCTTTTGTATTGTCTATTGCAGACAGCTGACATTAAGTTTTTCACATTTATAGCACCAATGGAAATTACAGAATTTCCCCTTTAACATTGGAAATTTAAATTTCCAGAATGCACTTTTAAGCTTTAGCCTGAAGTAGAATTGAGTATATTTTACATTTTTAAAATCAAAAGTCATCAACTGATGGTGATGAATATAAGGTATTGAATAGAAAAAATTTTATGCAACTCTTTCACTTTTGAAGGAGAATAGATATGGTTTTTAATCTGTCTTTTGTAAGGATAATAACTAATTACTGTTTGTAGAATATTATATGCATAGGTAAGTGTACACACACAAACATTCAAGCTTTGAAGCCATATGGCTTCATTTTTATCTTGTAAATGATTTTAGCACTTGTTAGTTTTTATCAAAATAGTGTTTGGTAACTTTTGTGAATACTTGTAATATTTTTCTTTGGGTTTATTATGCATTTTTAACATATATTATTCAATACTACCGGTGCGATTGTTAAATGTCAGGTAATATGTTACAAAACTGTGAATGTAACCTTGGTCCCACTTTACTTTGTTTAATTAGCCTTGGTATAAAATGTTTAGGAATTGTTTAGCTTTTTTCATTATTTACTTATTGTGTAACTATTTTAAAGTTTTATTATGATAACATTTAATACTTAGTACTGTAGTTCTTTCTAGTACTTGGTCAGTTTTATATTTCATTACTGCAGAACTACTTAATAATGTTTTGTAGTGGGTGGAATGTTGTTGGTGATAAATTGTAACACTGATAAAATACATAAATTAAAAAACCTTTATACATGAAACTACTCATGAATATGTCTTTTTATCAGTTTAGAGTTATATATACACACACACACTGTTTGTTTTTTTCATCTCAGGATAGTGAAAATGCCATAAAAGATTCAAACAAGAAAAGTGATCATGGAGGAGAAAACATGATTAGTACTAATGCTGTGGATGAACCAACAATAAAGAAAGTCAAACTGACTAAAGACAACACAGTGGTTGAAACTACTAAGGTATGTATTATTATTTTTAAAATATCATATAGTAAGCTTCATGTACAAGGATGTGAAAAATCTGTGCATTAATACCAAAAGGACTTCTATAACGTAATTTAAAAATGATTTATTTTTCAATTCTAATTATTTGACCAGTACTTGAGGAGGTCGGGGTATCAGAGGGCATTTACTCTTAAAATGCTGAGCTTTGTTGAAATGCCAAGCTTCAGGCTTATCTTGATTCTTAATTGAGATGCTATGTAAGTGTTCTTGTGTGCATTCAGCAAGCTTGTGGCTAGTTTCTTTTATATATATTTGGTTGCAGTTGTCATAACTAGTTAGAACTAGGTGATTAATCAGTATAATCAATTATCTGTGAGCATTGATTACATCAATTAGGATCACAAAATAATCAATTAATCAAAATTATGATTAAATTTATCTATGTCACAAAAATAATCAGCTAATTGAAATTATTACTGTTTTTGATTAATTCAAGGTTGCTCAGTTTAACTGATTAGTGTCACAACTCACAAAGATAATCAACTAATTGACATTAGTAATTCTGCTTGTTATTACTGTTTTCAGTTATTCCAACTGAATTTTAATTGTGCTTGGAGATGGCTTGAATGGGTAAAGAAGAAAAAATTTAATATAAGTTTAACATAACAGCAAATGTACAACATTTCGACAAGGTTTTGTCATCATCAGGTACAAGTAGTTTACACTGACACAGATACATATAAACAGTATAGAACAAAGAGGTCACATGACTGGATACTGTTGCAAGACTTAGAAGAGATATCTTGGTACCCCAGGGTGTTGATTTAGAGTTGGGTTGTTTTGTTCAATTAAGATTGATAACATAAACAAATGAAAAATCAAGGAATACATTCCACTTTTACCATTTCCCTATTTACTTGCTTTCATCTCCAGTTTCCACACTGTTCCAAACCCAACCTCCATCACTATGCCTCGACCTAGTCCCCTGTCTTTTGATTCTCACTTTCCGACTTTCCTCTTCTACTTGCCATCAGACTTATCAGGGACTACTAAGTTAAATGAGGACCTGTCTGTCACAGTTTGTGTACCTGTGGTCACACTTTTCTGTATGCAGAGAGGTTATTCTATTTTTTACCTACAGACTTTCTCTCTCTCTAATTCTCTTCCCTTCTCCATCTTATCCGTAATCCTGTTATTTCCTTCTCCATCTGATCCAATCTATCTGTAACATCTCAAGAAGATGGTGTTTTTCAACACTTTCAAAATTTTCTTCATACCCACTCAATATCTTGTTCACCTGAGAGTGTTTTTCAACTCTTTGTTCTGTGTTCTGCCTTTTCCTGCCCACCTGTAAGCTATGGAATTTCTAGTCACCAGGATTTGTGCCTATCCTACTTATTCTGTGAGAAGGTTTTTTCACTTTTGAGGACCATAACTTCACTTGAACTGCTTATCCATTTAAGTCATGCCCATATGCACCTCCTCCAATAGTCCTTGAGTGACTAGTGGAACCACTCATTGGAACCTTTGAACTCAAGGTTTCACATGTCCTCTCCTCATTTTGAGGATCTGTATTGGGTGCTGGACCAAGGACAGGTCTTCTCTCTATATCAAGGCACTCAAACTTCTGGCAGCCACCAGAGATGCTCCCATTCCTTACCCATCCTTGTGGATCATTCCGTTATGATCCATTCTGACAATTCTATTCTTGTATCCTTTATCAACTGCCAAGAGGGTAACTGATCCAGTAACTTTTGCTTTCAAACCCTGGACCATCATTAATGGGCCAAATCTCAAAGGTTCATATTATAGCCTACCATGCCTTGGGCACTACAAACATGGTTGCAGACCACCTCTCTTGACTGGACCAAGTTTTGCCCATAGAATGGTCTCTTCACCCCCAGGTTTTCCATTGGGTGTGTTCTCTCTCTCTCTCAGGGATCCCACTCATTGATACATTGCTACCCCTCTAAGTTCTAAGCTTCCACTCTTTTGATCATGTGTTTCCCATCCATTGGTTCTGGCTGTCTATGCTTTAATCCAGAACTGGTCTCACTTTTCCTTTATGCACACCTACCTCTCCATCTTTTAACTCAAGTTCTGGCCTTGATTTGCAACACATCATGTCCTATTGATTGCACCCCTTTGGTCAGATCAACCTTGATTCTCTCTTCTACACTGCCTGACAACCCAACCACATATGTTCCTGCCACTATACCCTCTTTCTTGCTACAACCTCACATGTCATAGTTCTGTCAAGGGATTTTGTCCCTTCTACCTCAAGTTTGGGATTGTGTGGTACCTCTTTCATAGAACTGGACTCTCTTATTGTGTAATCTTTTTTCTTTCTCATTCCTGTTGCCCTTCCACTTTGTGCATCTACCAGTGTAAGTGACATGTCCTTTACTATTGGTACATCTGTTGTCTCCATCTTCCTGACTGTCCTACTGTTGGCTATCTCTCCTACTTCCCTTCCATCTATTCTCACCTCTATGATTGATTGAACCTGGACAGACTGTTGTGCCTTGTTTGTGCCATTTGTTGATACATATCTTGTACCTCACACTTTCTTGGCTCCAGTCACTGACTATTCATTACCTGGAATTTCTCTTCTTCCAGGGACATTTCTCCTTCTACTCTTACAGGTTGAGTCTGACTAATTATATGTTTAGTTTACTCATTAGAGGTTGATGCTCTCAGTTTGTTCCTCATTCTTCCCATCAGATTTGTCACCACTCATTCTCTTTCACTCTTTAGACCTTCATCATCTGCCTGTCTTGTCTCCTGAAGGTTACTGTCTACCTTCACCATTTCTAGAGTGCTGATTACCTTTTATTTTTTATAACATTCACTTATATAATCCTGCCAAGAGGCTGGTGGTGCCTCCAAATGTATGCTTATTTCCCAAAATTTTGCATCGAGCCAGGATAAAGGAAAGTACTCGTACCATCTGCCCTGGATCCATATATGCCCACTGTAAGATGTGGTGTTCTGCAAGACCACTTGAGGTAACCTTGTGGTATATTTATATGTCTGATTATTGTACAGTCCAGACCGTACGTATTTAATGGACTATCAGGCAAAAAGCCAGCACCAAGGAGTGTTCTGCCCACTTCCTTGACTCATGTTTGCTAGCTTTTCAAAATAACTTTCTTGCTGAAGGACCAATTGGGATGCAGGCATTTTCTCTGGGTCTCCCCATCAAAAATTCCTCTCCACTTTTCTCATCAAGTGGAGCGCGGGAGACCCTTGCCACTTACCAGTTCCTAGCTGCTGCAGTGGTGAACCATAGTGAAACCTCACCAATTGGGACCTAAGCATTGGGGCTAGAACAAGGGGGTGCCAATTGGTAAGAAGTGGGGGTAGTGGTGACACTGTCAGTATAGTGCAGAACACCCGTCATATAGCTATACTTATAACATGCCACTAGTGCCCTCCTTCTGTGGCCTGAGTCTGTACAGTTGAGTTGAAGTGAGAACACACACTGTGATACTATGCCTTCTTCTTGCAGCCTGCAATTATCCAGAAGAGTCAAGGTGAACATGCACCGTATACCATGTACTGTTCTCTCTTCCTGTGGTCATGTCTCTTCAGCAGTTGAGGTGAGCACACTCTATACACGTGTGCCCTACTCTTGTAGACATCAACTGTTCAGCTGAGTTGAGGTGAGCACAAACTAAAAAAAAACCATACCTTCCTCCTGCAGCTGATGTATATTTAGTTGAGTCGAGGTGTGCATACACACACACACACCATTCCACACACTATGGAATGAATACTGTGCCTTTCTCCAGCAGATGGTGATGGCCTAATAGTCTGATGGTAGAGTTGAGGTGAGCACAAAGTATGTTCTAAATGTGCCCCAACCACACTATACACATTGGCTCTCTAACTTCTTGTGTGCAAGTTTTGGGCAGCCATGTTCTTATTTTACTTATCCTTGCAATGCTTGGGACTCATTTTCCTCTTCCTCCCTCCACCACCACAATGTGTGATTCTAGCTTAACTGTTTGCAGAGGTGTGGTATTGTCTTGGAAGTTAACATTTTTCCTTACTTGAAAATATATTTCTGATGGATACTTACCTCTCACACACACATTCCCACCAATCCTCCCCAATTCTGGTGTTCATTTCTTACTTGTCTTATAAAAGAATGAAGATTCACAAGTGCAAATGTATAGAGGGAGTTAGTGCACAAGGAGGTGTGTCATCCTCTTATTGGTGAAGGGCTTTTGCTACATAATAATGTCATTATGCTGTAGTGCAATTCATGAGAAATCATTAGAGAATAGGTGAAAGTTGCCTGAAGGCTAGTGGCATGCAAATCTATAAGGCAGACACACAGGGAAGATAGCTAAACTGTGAGTAGTGGTGAGTATCTATCAAAAATACATTCAGGTAAGAAAATGTTAACTTCTTCAATATGCTTTTCCATTTTATTAATTTTGAGGCTAACCATCCAGTTATTACTGATAGAGTGTAATGCATTTGTCAATTTTTAATTCATAAAATTACACTTGTTTTATTATGGTTTTTAAATAATCATCAGAAATACAAATTATTATAGCAGATACCTTTTTGGAAGAGTAAAGACAAATAAGTAAAAATTAAAAACTGGAAATGAATATTTTTTTAATATGAAATTTACTCTGATGTGATGAATTTTCAAAAGTTCCATTTTTATATATTTGTAGTGTATATTCAAATGAGTTTCAGTTGCATAAATTGCTTGAATTTTTTAACTTGGTGCATTTAAAAATAACATTTTTAGATGGCCAAAGATTACCTTGGACAGGAAGATTTTGAAGAAACAAAAGCAGGAGCTAGAGCTGTGAGAGACAGTAGCAAAGCAGCCATGAAGAGACTTAGTACTATGGCCAAGACTGCTAAAGAAGGTATGTTAAATTTCCAGTAGTAGTGTAGTTACACTAGCCATCTTATTTATTTCAGACTTGTTTCTATTTATTATTAATCTATTTAATCCTCAGTTCTTTTTCATTACTGGTTCTGTCATTGATTTTGAACTGTTCTTTAGTCACCACTTGACCACAGATTGTAAGTGCATGGTGTATAACACTGGTTGGTTGTTTTGAATTTCACGCAAAGCTACACAATGGCTATCTGCATTAGCCGTCCCTATTTTAGCAGTGTAAGACTAGAGGGAAGGCAGCTAGTCATCACCACCCACTGTCAACTCTTGGGCTACTCTTTTACCAACAAATAGTGGGATTGACCATTACATTGTAATGCCCCCCACAGCTGAAAGCGTGAGCATGTTTGATGTGATGGGTAATCGAACCCACAACCTGCAGATTGTTAGTCAAGCGCCCTAACCACCAGGCCATGCCGGGCCGTATAACACTGGAAACATGTTTGTCTCTAACATTCAAATACTCTTTTATATGCTTATAGAGACATCAAACCATCAATCTGGTGTAACAGCTTCCACATATTGAGTGTGCTTTTAAAAAATAGGGAAAGTGGTTCACCTGTTGCAGTGTCTCTGAAGACCTGTTCCTCAGGACTCCTCAATGCTTATGTTCCCCCCTTACTTCTACTAGTGGAGCTTGGGAGTCCTTATCACACCCAGTTCTCAGTCACTGGGGTGGTAGACAGAAGATTTACCTTTGGAGTGTTGAGTTTTCTCCATTCTCGGGGAAGGGGGCAAAGTTGGGGACCCTCTTACCTGGGTCCCTGGAAGTTTTTTCCCAGATGTCAGTAGGAGCAGGAGCATACTCATAAAACCAGTCCATATTTGATGCTTAGCTATCTGGTGGGGGGTGCTTGGACCCTCTTAAGAACACTGTCAGGTCTTATGTTGTTCATGCAGGGGATCCACTATCTCCATAAATCTGAACATGATGAGGTCCCATCTTTAGCCCATGGTGGAACAGTGTTCCACCTCCTCTCTTTAATTCCATGGGTAAGTGGAATTATCCTTGCCCACTTGGTGGGAGAGTAAAGACAAATGTTTGTAAATCTAGACTGGATGAGTTCTGGACTTTGATGGAGTATAGCATATGATCCCATCAATCCAGACCTGGGTTCAAATTTTCATTTTAGTTATGTCTTAAGTGTCTGAACTGTAACTTCACACTTTTAAGCTTGTATTTATTTCTCCCAATCAGATTTCAGAGTTTTCAGTTAGCTTAACATTTACTTTATGTTTCTATATTTTTATTTCTCCAACTGTGAATTTATTGATTCAACTAACGTTTACTGCATTGTCTAGAGATACCTGGAGAACTTGGACTGCTTCTCAGCTTTGAAAAGGGATAAATTCTAAAAGCCAATAATTATAAGAAAGAAAAGATGCTGACCTTTAACACTATGGGATCTAAATTCCAATAGTTCTGGGTGTAACTTCTTTACACATTTGAAAGTGGTGAGATGGATGTGGTCAGGGGTAAAATTTTAACACAAAATATTGAAATACTTCCCAATTACTTTGAGGTTTTGAATTTTTTTGTGCTTTCTGATAATGATTTTTTATTCATTATAAATTTGGTGTTATATCTACTTCTGAAGTACAAGAACCTTCTTCTACAGTAAAATATCACATAAAGATATTGACATTTAGCAAGTACAGTACACTATAGGCAATCTATTTGAAATGCACAAATCCTTTTATATCAAATATATTGTTAAGACTATTTGTTTAAGGAGCACAAAAAATACAAAAATCTATTTATTGAAAACCAACTATAATTGTTAGATATAATTTGACATAAACTAAAATATGGTTGGTGAAATGTCAGCCTGCCATGCCTGACAGAGGTAACAGTGGCATCATATTGAAATGTGAGACCATTCATTTTGTACCAGTAAATCTTTGTTAACTATACCATTTTTGTATGATTTATAGCTGGAGGTTGATTGCTTTAATTGTCAAAAAAGTATAGTAAGAAATATGCTGATGAAATCAAAAAGTTAAAACTGATTGGATATATAAAATGGAACTTTATAATTTAATAGTAATAATAAATATGTAAGTTTAAGACTAGGAAATATTTTTGTTTTTTTGAAACTATGTTTCACAAAATTTTTAACATTTCACAAGTGACAAAATTATAAGTATACTAAATCAAATTTTATAATTCTTTTCATGTAGGAACTAGACTGTGTAAAAAGTTTGTTCCCAAGTTTTTTTATTTTAGTTATGTATTTTCACTTTAAGAAAAGAATGGGAATATTAGGAAATGTTTCAAAACTCAAGTGTTAAAAATAATAATTTATTTCGAAATACGTTATTTCTAAAACTTTTGTTTTAAACTGTCATTCAGGAGAAGCTCTACTTAAAGAGTTGGGACACTCTGATGAAGGAACAGAGTCACAGAGAAGGCGTACTAGGTCTCAAACTCGGGGAGATCCTGTTCCTCCACCACTTCAAAAGAGAACCCCTAGACAGGTTAGAGATATTTGTTTTCCTTGTTAAGTATAAATTTGTTTGTCTTAAAATTTCATGCATGTTAACTTACACGAGGAATTTTCAGGTTAAATTTTTCCTGAAACTTTTTTCTCAAAACACACCAGAATCATTGTTGTAGTAGGTAAAATAAAAATGATATAATAAGTATATAGAACTAACACAAACTTATATGCTAAGTTATTGGGAATTAATGTATTCAGTACAACCATGTTGAATTTGGGTAATGACTTGGGATTGAAACTAGTGAAAGTATGACTGTTAGAGATTGATATGGTATGGCTGGGTTGACATGTAGAATAATAATTGTAGGTGGAAATAACAAAGTATAGTAGCTGATATCGGGTAGATGTTTGCATAATGTAACCACCCTGCAATTGTTCAGTCTCAGTATTTGTCAGCTATTAACATCTGTGTAAGTTTGTTTTATATGCTTTATATGTTTAAACAAGCTTAAATTGCAACTTGCGTTCATCTTGTAAAATTATAAAATTGTAGAAAAATATTATGAGTTAAAATTTTCTTGATTTCCATATAGTGAACAAAAGAGGTACCTAAACATGTCTTGTATAGACATATTCATGTGAGATATTTCAATTAATCTTAACTTCTTTTCAAAACAAGCTACCTACATAGGTCAAAACTAAAAATCTAATATATATATATAAAAGGAAGTTTCTGTCCTTTGATCACACACTTTTTTTTGTTAATACTCAATATACAAAATCTAATATATATATATAAAAGGAAGTTTTTGTCCTTTGATCACACTTTTTTTTTTGGTAATACTCAGTATATATCGTCACTTAGTTACAAATCTATGTATCTTATATTTTTGTTAGGTGAACAATGGTGTTTATGTTGAATGAGTAATATACATGTTGATTTGCACAAATAGCCCTCGAGTAAATTTGTGCAAAATTAAAAAACAAACAAATAAACATGGTAATTTGTTAATTTAAAAACTTTTTTTTTCATAACTCCAATGACATAACAATAAGATAGTTTAAATCATAAGTGATTTAGAATTGATTTCATGAGAAATTTTTATGGACTTGGGCCTAGGGTAGGTTATTCCACAGTACATCTTCACTTTAGCCTTAATTACAAAAAAAATTAACTTAGGCTCTCTTATCACATCTTGATAAAGTTAAATAATATTTGTTATTTATATTTATGCAATTGTTTGATGAAGACTTCTAGAACATTTTTGATCTTGAGTTGTAGACAAAACCAATGTAAAAATTGCCAAGGATTTCAGGAAAGTAGTGTTTCAGGCAAGCCTTACGTTAGTTTAGGTATTAGGCCTAATGCTTAAATTAGGCTACAAATAGACCTACATTAGAGTCAGATAATATTTAGTTCAATGTGTATAAGTATGAAAAAGAGGAGCTACAACACCAACAAAAGAAAAAACATTGGAAAGTATACAAGCACATATGTAAAAGCCCTTAATAAATGTTTGTTTAATTTGAAAAAACCTTTCTTTTGAAGTGGAACTTTTGTTTTACATTATTTTATCTGTCACAATTCAAAATACAATGGTTAGAACTAGGGATGCATGGGTACCCGGCCAGATATTCGGTCCTGGCCGGGTATTGGGCTACCCGGTAATACTCGGGTCTGGTCAAGTTTCAAAGTTAGGCATCTAAGCCCTAATCTTTGTGGCAACTAACAAAGTACTGAAAGTAACAGTCAATAATTGGTTTAGTTAAAAAAAAAGTGTTCCACGCAACAAAAACTAACTGCCCGCTGAAAGTCGGGGATTCGGAGTATAACAATAGTGGGTTAATAACAGGCATGGCTTGAGAATTGGATTTCTGGAGAAGGTTAGGGTTTGAGAGGTTGGGGCTAGGCATTGAAAGTTGAAAGTGAAACTTGAATGTTCTGTTGGTGATTATTCAGTTAAATGTAATAAACATTAATTTTGTTTTTGTTTCTAATTTTTATGTATGTTGTTTTGTTTTTTGGAGGGGAGGCAAGGGGAGAACCTGATCTCGGTTGACACTCGGCCCCTGCCGAAGCTTAGTGACCAGGTACCCGGACCTGGAATTTGGCCAAATTTTACTACCCGTGTATCCCTAGTTAGAATTTAATTGGAATCATTGGAAATGTCTTTATACAGTTCTTTATGTTTTAAATAATGAAAATGTTAGGTCCTAAAAACATCCATATCTGTTTTGGGAAAATATTTATACTTTGTTTCATCATGTGAAAAGTTACATGAATAGAAAAATAGGAATACTACAAATGTTTAAAAATGTTGTATTATGCAGCAATAACTAAAATACTGAAAATTTCTTTTAGGATGCTTTTTTAACATTAGAAATAACATGTAAACATTCTGGGTATAGTCATAATGTGGAGAACAAAATGAAAAGTAAAAAAATTAAATAAGACTTTAAAACGATTTTCATAAATTTATATAAATATCAGGAACTTTTATATGATATTTTTTCCACTGATTACAGTTTAATATATGTAAAAATCAGTTGTTATTGTGTGTCTGTGAAACACTTAGATTATTTTTATTTTAAGTTGCCCCATTGTTATTGATTTTTGAGAGTGTACTTAAAAGTTATTTTTATTTTCTCAAAGTGCGATTGTATTATTTTTAAGAATGAAGGGGGGAAGTTTAATAAACAATGTTTGCTAAAGGAGGGGGGGGGGTCCCAGGAAGTTCTAACAAAACATCAACCCATCATTTTTTGATGGGTACAGCAGCTACTATGTATATAGTAATGAACATAGCTAATTAAACATAATGTTAAAATTATACAACTTACAGTAATTAGAATGCACTGTTTCAACAATTGGCTATCTTTGCTGCTAGTGATATTTTTGGTTGTAAACCCAATAATATCTTGTGCGATTTAGTAATGTAATTTTGCATCAATATTCAATAAATTATAATATTGGGTGTTTACTAAAATATGGTTGAATATATTCACACTGTAATAATTTAGAGGGAAGTTGTTCTCTGAAACAACTTTGGTTCATGGTAAGAATTGCATTTATGCCACCCTACCACTTTCCCTGTAAATCAGGAGCTCTAGGAATGCATTTGTAGTCAAAGGTTTGGTCTACAGTTCTACATGTTAAGAAAACATATTTGTTTTATTGTGTTTAAAATTTTATATGCTAGATAAGAATAATTTCCACTGACAATAAGTCCAACTGCGGTGTTTTGGGTGTTCAGGGTTCTCACTAAGATCCCACAGTTAAGGGTCCTGGACTCTCATCTTTTTCTTTGAAGAGTCCGAGTGAGATTTTCAAGGGTCCTATAGGTTAGAATTTAATAAACTCAAAAAATGAAAAACTTTATTTACAGTGTACACTACATGCTTTCCTTCTGCAAGTGGAAAAAAGCATGTTAATGTTCAATGAAAAACTTTGTTTACAATTTACACTGCATGTTGTTTCCCTTTATGAGTGAAAAGTAATTTTCATGATAAGATTAAAATTACATTTCTTCATATGAAAATTTTCAAGTATCATTTGCATAACCACTAGAACATCCTAAATAAATATCAAATGCTTTTTCTTTAGAAAAACTTTATATTTTATGTGTTATTTTTTACCCTAACTCTTATATGAGGTCAGTTGATTTGACTGACCTCATAACCACCATAAAAAGCAAGAAATAATTATCTGGAATGACTGCAAATTGTATCAGAAAACCACAATTGTTTATCCTAAGCAGTTTAAAGCTATTGATACTTAATTCTTATTGTTTTATTGCTTTTTGAACTGTGTCTAACTACTATTCATACAATATAAATTGCAAATCACTTGGAAAATGTACAGCTTACATTGTGATATCGAATTACATACACATAGACTACTCATGTGTGTACTTCCTAAAATATTATTATTTATTTTACTTCATCTAACCTAAAAAGTTTTCAATTTTTACATTTTAGTTACTTTATAATAATAAATAAAGAATACACATGAAAAACAAGAAATAAAGTATTTTCTTGTGTCATTTTTTTGCTCTCTACTGTCAAAGAAACGTAAACCTACTTTTCTGATATGGTACATTACCTCCTCTCACATATATAGTCATTCTCGTTCAGTACTGCCCTCTAAAGGCAAAAAAATTATGCATGCCACAAGCCTTTTATCTCCCCTCTATTGGAATTGACTGATTCCAATGAGTCTCTCATGCAAATCATTATGCGTCAACCATCCACCAAAAAAGTGTGACATACTCTTATGATGCATGTGACTCCCTCTATTCAATTCTACCGAACTATCACTTCTCAATTGGCATTACTCGTGTTCAGATGTTTTTCTTTTGGTGCTCTTCATGTGAATCATTATCGTGATTTTAATAGTTTAATTTCCAAATTTGGATTTATTCATTTTTTTTTATTTCTTTACATTGAAGAAATCTTTTACTTTAACTTAATTTCCCAGTCTTTATTTTTTTTCTCACACTCCCATATTTTACATCAAATGCTTTTGTTTGATTTATGTATTTCTACAATGAATTCTGAAGTTCTTGTTCCCACTTGGCACAATTTTGGCAGGCTGCAGGTGAGGGAGATTTGATTTGTTGGATTTCTCTGCTATTATCCGCCATGAGATTGATCTTTATATGGGTCAGCTTCCTTCTCCTGAAATTGCCCCACTAATCTTCTTGAACAAGCCAAACCTGTTCAAGCCAATGAAGATTTGATAGCCTTTTTACACCACCGGATTTCCCTACCCCTCCTGCAAAATCAACTAGGTCTAATATGGCATTTTTTGAAATGATTTCTCAAGTATGTGAAATTTTATCCAATTCAACATTTTTCTGTGATTCTTTATTACCTCCAAGTTGGGTCATTTGTCTTCTTCAGCTCTTGCTTTAAACATGTGGTTTCACTGTTGGGATCTTCTGGGTCATGATGCGACTTTGTCCCAGGTTCATTTGCTGCCTTTTTCCTTTAGGGATTTCTTTGGCAATATGTTTTCAATCATGTATCTGAGACTTTGGAATCATGTGTGTAATCTGTGCATCAACACTCTACCCTCTTCTCCTTGGTTGCATGTTTGTCGCAGTTGGAGCCACAACAAGCCCCTATTCCTTTTTCTCATCCTGGTCCCTATCTACCCCTTCCCTGTTCCTCTTTCCAGGGGTTTCTTATCTTATCATTTTATTCAACGTAGATGGGCCTGCTGCCAACAGTCCTGGAAACTAACTAGTGAGTTCTGGTCCAGTTGGAGTTTGATTGTATGATTTTGTTACTCTTTGGCTATGTTTCACTACAGATCTATGGGTTCTTCAGTTATATCAGAGGGACTTGACCTGCTATTTCTTTCCCCATCTCCTTTGTCTCAGATACCCTTTTACTTCCCCTTGACTCAGGATCCTGCCACCAACCAGCGTCTGTCCAAGTTGGTACAAGTTCTTCTGTCTCAACAGGCCATTGCACCTGTTCATCATCTTTTTCCAGGCTGTTTGTTGTCCTCACAAAATACCAGAGACTGGTGGCTTGTAATGAGTTTGTCCTGTCTCAATCTAAATTTCAATCTGCCCCATTTTACCTTGGAATCATTTTCCACACTTAGGTGGGCTTTTTCTCCAGGTTTATAGATGACCAAGAGGAATGTTGAGAATGCTTATTTGCATATCCTGATATCTCATCATTCGCAACCTTCTTTTCGGTTTGTTCTCCACGGGGTGTTTTATCTGTTTCTTGCACTGCATTTGAGACTTACTTTGGCCCTGTGTGTTTTGTCGGGCGGTCAAAGCATTCATTCATCATTTACATGCTCTCAGGTTGAGTTTTCCTTTTTCTTTGAGTGACTGGCTACTGTCAGCTCATTCCGAAGAGGAGACCACCTGTTACCCTTATAAACTGCTCCTGGAAGCAGCTATAGTGGGCTGGTTAATCAAGAAGGAGAAGTTCTTACTGCAACTTATCCAATATCTTGTCCATATGGAGTGTTTTTCAACACCCATATTGGTCAGGCCTACCGCTCTCCTCTTCGACTTCGTTTTTTTCAGTTCTATTACAGCTCGTGAGGTTCTGTTGCTTTTGGGGATGTGATCTTCCATGGCAGTCCCTATCCCCTTAGGTCAGGCTCTTCACAACTAGTGGAATCTTGCAAGGGTTCATTGTCAGCTCTTTTTACCCTTCCTTCCAACTTTTATTGATGATCAGCATTGGTGGTTAGACAGGACTTGCATGTTACACTTCCTGTACTCATCCCTTCGAAGATGGGGGGCATGGGTTGATCAACAGGAAGCTTCAGGGTTATGGTCTGAGGCCGAGAGGTCTTATCATATCAACATCCAATAGCTTCTTGCTGTTACTCATGTTTTGGTTAATTTTCTCCACCTAGCCAGAAATCATCTGGTAATGATCCATTCTGACTTTTCTTCAGTGGTTGCTTATCTCTATCACGGGGCAGCACTCGATATTCATATCATTGGGTGTCATGTTCTGGGTGCTTTTGCTCTTGTCATGGATTGGAATCCCATCCAGACAAAATCTATCCAACAGACTGGTCGCTTGATCCTTTTGTTTTCCAGTGGCTTTGACTTCAGTGAGATACTCATCACATTAAAGCTTTTGCTATGTCCCTTAACCAGAAATTGCCTTGGTTTTGGTCTCTGATCTCTTGTCATCTTGCTCTGGCTATCAGTGCTCTTAGGTAGGATTGGACCAACACATTTATCTGTCCTCCTTCTCTGGGTGATTTCAATCATCCTTGACATTCCATGTTCAGTCCTTCTGATAGCTCCTTCCTGGCCATCTCAGCTGTGGCTTCTGCGGCTTCTCCAGCTTCCACTTCCTTCTCCGTTACCTGTTTCTCTGATTCTGTTCCTTCTTCATCACATCTGTGTTTCATCCAGACCTTCTTGTCCTCCATCTTCTCACCTGGTTTTTCTCCGGTCATTGGCAAGGAGATCTGGCTTCTCCCGATGGTTAGCTTCTTTTCTGGCTTGTTTCATTTGCCCTTCCTCCATGGAAGTTTCTCAATGCAAGTGGAAAGTTTTCCATTGTTGGATTCTGGGTTCAACAAGGTTTTCCACTGATCAACTCATTGTTTTTTGTCATGCGGATTTCCTCACTTGACTTTTGGATCAGGGGTCTTCTGTCTCCTTCATTTCGGATTTTCAGGCGGCACTGCCTCACACTTTTTTGTTTTTCCTGATACTGTAGGTATTTTATCTCTCCTACACTTTACCTGTTTATGTCTTTCTACCAGATTCATCGTCCGCTGCGGCAGGCTGCCATTACAGATGGGGGATATTAATGTAGTCCTGCATTGCCTGCCTCACTTTGCCTACATTTGAACCACTCTCCCAATGCTCCTTGTTTCACCTTTCCTTTATATTTTCCTTCCTTCTCCTATTAACTTGTGGACATCAGTGGTCTGTTTATTTGCCATTGAGTTTCACATACTCTTTTATCCTTCTACATATCTTCTCCTTTCTCTGGATCAGTTTTTTTCCTCCCTAACTCTTTGGTGGCTCATGTGGATAACTCCTCCGTTTATCTGCTTTCCCTCCCTTCCGTTTTAACACCTTTATCCTCAACCTGATCCAGATAGACTTCTGTGTCCTGTACATGATCTTTTCTGTTATATTGCCTCCAGGGCTTCCTTCTGTGGTGTCTTTTCACACCTCTTTCTTTCTTGGCAGCCATCTTCCATTTGTGATCTTTCTCTTTCTACCTTCACCAATTGGGTTCGGCTCTTAATCAAATTGGCTTATTTTTCTTTATTGTCTTCTTCCCATACTTTGTTCCAAGTGTCTTCTCATCCAATTCAACCCCTTACCTTTTCAGTAGCATTTTATCTTTGTTCTTCTTGGAGGCACTTCTTCAATCGGGCATGTGGACTACCATAATATGTCCATCTCTCACTATTTGCATCAGATTGCGTTTTTTTCCTTTTTGGGATATGTTTGTCTGCCTGTAGCCATTCTTCAGAATTCAGTGAGACTTTGACTGGGTAAGTTATTTTTATTATTGCTCATTGTTTGGATCCTGCTCTGTGGCAAGTGGTGCCTGAACAGGTATTTTTTACCAGATCAAATCCGTACTGTAAGGCCATGTTGACTTATATATATTATATTTCCATGGCCATGCAACTCACACTGCAGAGATGGGGTATTCCACAAGATTGCTTGTAGGTTTATCCTCACGATATAATTTTAACAAAAAATTGTCCCGGACCACACTCACCCGTGGACTTCATGGGTAAAGCACAAGGTGATAGCTGTCAATCCCTGCCATGCCTTGTATTGAATAAATCTATATGGTCTGCTTTTGAAAATAGGGTTTTGTGGTCACTCATTGCACTGTCTCAGGTGTTGTCATTCCTCCGGACTCTGCACCACATTTTTCCCCCCCTTTTGTTCTTGTTTGAGAGTCATTACCACTTTCCAGTTCCAAGTTGCTGGGGTGATGGACCATGGAGGCATCCTCCAGAATGGGTTAATAAAATACAAAATACAAGCAAAATATAGAAATGATTATACAACCATTCAGTTGAGAGTAGGGTGGTGGTGTTCTGCTGGTGTAGATGACATGATATCCTCCATTATAAAACAAATATAAATGGAAGTGAGCTGTCAAAATTGCAGTTCACCCCTTCGATTGGGATCCCTCATTGTACCCCCACATGGTTGTCGGTTCCCAGTGGCTGGGTTTTGGATTTAGAGTTGAACCAATCAACATAGGTTTTTCACACATGTATTACAGATGTCTATATTCCTCCCTCAATTATACTCTTGTTACTCCATCCGTGTTGTGGGTCACAGTGGAAGTACTTGCAGATTATTACGGTTATTCCCCTTCTTCTATCCCTTGATGCTTATTATTTCAAGGATGTTAGTGTGCTTGGGATAGTTCTGGTCAATTTCACTTTTCAGGGAGATGGTTTACATTATGCAGACATCTTTTCAATACAGGATGTCAGATTCCCAGATTGTTCATTTATTTGTCAAACAATGAATTAAGTTTTTGAATTTTTCAATAATGTTGTGTATTTAAAAAAACTTTTTATTATAAGTGGAAACAAGTTTAGCCATTAGCAAAATTTGATAATTACCAACTATACTAAGTAGCTGTATTACATAGGAAACACCTAGACGAGGACGAAGAGGAAGGCCACGAAAAGATGAAAGCAGGTCACCGAGTGAGGACCTTGACCAAAAGGATGAAGAAGAAATAACAGAAGCAAATGATGACAAAAAAGAAGAAGTGAACAAGGAAAATGAAGACCAGAAAGAGAAGGAAATGAACACACAGACAGAGGTGTCTACAGCAGAAAATGAACCACCTGCAAATCAAAACTGATATTTTATGTCACTCATTTGTATTTTCAACAAGCAGCTTCATTGCCATAGAAAGGGGGTTTGGAAGAATTAAAAAAAAATGTTGAGGTAAAATTCATAGAAAGGGACAACCTAACTCACTAATTCCCAGAGGTTTTTATGTTTTTCTTGAAAACTAGAATGAAAGACAAAAAAATTTCTGTAGAATCTTGCATTTGTCAGTTTTTTCATCTTAAACTTGTAGCTTTTGCAACTTTACGTTTTACATATTAGTTATTTTATGTTATATATTTTTTGTTTATTTTTAAGGAAAGTTCATGGCTTTTATTCTTGAGATTATTATGGTCATCCCATATTATGATGCTTTGTAATAAGTGGCCACAGCTGAATATTCAGCTATTTAGTAAAAGTTAAAAAGATATAGGCTTATATAATCTGATTTTTTTTTAATTAAAATAATTGTTTAAATTATAACTGGCATCATTCCTAATACAAAAATATGATAAATTTTTGACAACTCTAAGTGAAAGTTAAGACTATTAAAATATGTTCACAGAGATTAAATGTTACTGCACAGGCTAAATTACAGTAACTTAATCTTCTAATCTTTAGCAACATACAACTAAATGCTTTGGAGCTCGTATTATCAAATCCTGTACTTATATTGTTTATAAATGTATAGAATTTATAAATCTGGCTGTGGTGAACACAACACATATATAAGTTTTACATGTATTATTATGGAAGTATATAGTGAATATTTAATGGTTCATCATTTATCTGTAGCATTTGGTACAGATTACATTTTTGTTAACATCTTCAGTTTTGTTTTTAAACACATCAAACACTTTTAAGACTACATTTGCAATGTTTTATCTATTTAAGTGCCAAAATTACTGATTTATTTTATTCCATAAATGAAGAAAGTTATTTTAAAATTTAAATGTTTTTTATTGATTATCTAAAATGTAAAAGTTAAGACAGCTAGTAATTATGCAAGTAAACTAATTTATTACTCATTTGCATGTTTTCATTGCAAATGGTTCTAATATACATGGCAATACATTTTCTTGCTCTGAGTAAGTAATTAGTGATTTAAAAAGTGACAAATATTTCTTGATACAAATTACAACCTTTTTTATTTGTTTTTAATTTTTGGTAAATTTGCATATTACTGAAACATACAACAGATTTGTTAAGTTCAGCATAATTAAGAACATGAAGTGCCGGTTTGAGTGTATTTTTTTTCCTACTGAGTATTTTGTTGTATTTAATGCACTGAGAAATTATTAAAGATAAACATGACAATTGAATAATTGATAAATCTCAATTTTTTATTTTATACAACTTTTAGTTACTATTTTCTCAGATTGTAATTTTGTTTGCATGACATAGGGTTTTAGAAATTCTGTTTCTTTATTAACATGTCTTTTTCTTTTAGGTTTAAAAAATTACTTTTATCTCAGTTGCAACATTTGTGATGGAAAAGTTGAATCCCTTACCAACTCAGTTCTGTTGGGCTATTTTTGCATGAATTTAAAAGTTGTAGATTCCATATTGTTTTATACATAAACAGTATACTTCACCCAAAACACATATCAAAATGAAATAAAAAACTTAAATGGTAAATTTTAGTAGATTTAAAAATAAATACCCAGTGAATGTAGTTTTTTTTGAGATTTTTATGATGCTATAAACATTTTTGGAATTTAAGTTAGGTATGATTAAAATATAATGTTTGGTTTGCTTCCCTTTTTTTAGGGGGGGGGGGGAGTTTGGTGACAATTTTGTAGAATTATTGATTTAAGTACTGCAGCATAAAAAAGAAGCTTCATGAGCCTGAGATAGTTAGTAAAGAATGTGGAAAACTTTAAAGCAATTTTGATATAACTTTTCATCATTAAAAACACTCAGTATCTTTCTGTATCAACAATTCTAATACTAGTTTGATTACTTTATTATTAAAGATAAGAAGCCATTATTAACTATTGCTACATATGTTTATAAGTTTCTCACTCTTTCTCTTCTAAGGTTAAACTTTACATTTGTTCTATATTTCTTAAGTTTATCAATTATAGTTTGATAAACCTAGTTTTACTCCTTTTTTTTCTTCTTGACATGCAGATCTGTAGTAAAATTATTTGAAAGAAACTGTCATACACCTTCCAGGCACAGTTGCAATATGTATTTAGTTTTATACAACAACAGGACTCAAGCTATAATATATAGTTATTTGCAATCTTCATATTGAAAACTGAATATTTAATGATCATGTTATGTATGTATCAAAGTATACAAATAAATAAAACTTTAAATGCACAAACATTATGAAATGTCACCTTTCAGTATCAATGATTCTGTGTATTTCTATAATAGTACAAATTTGCCCTAAAAGTGTGAATAAAAGGAATTGTACCACATTTTACTGAGCACACAATTTTATGGTGTATTTTGAATATTTTTTTTCAGTTATACAGTAGCTGGTATGTATCACCTTCTACACACTTTTGAATTTAAACAATTCAACAATCTTGTTATAAAACAATTTCAACCTATTTTTGAAGTTGAAATTTAATTTTTGTTTAGGTAATAGCCATATATTATTTTAATAGTTTGATGTTATATTACTGTTATTATAAGTAAAACTCTTACTGTCTGTCCATTTTACTGTAATTATGGTAATTCTGTACATCTTAACAGTAGAATTTTAATATGGTTTATAATTTGACAACTATTGCTATGGGGAAGATCTTTTTAATCAGTTTGTTATACCTACGTATCCATAACAATCATGTATAATATATCTGAAATGAGATTTTTCATCAGTTAGGTTTAAGTTACTGTGCCACAACACACTGTCATGATGTGACAGAGGCCACACATATGAAATGTAGCAAGAAAATAGAGCATTGATGTTATTGAACAGGTTTCTTACAGTAGTAAAATTATAGGTTTTAACTTATATTGTGTGTTAAGTACAAAAATTAAGTAGAAAATGAGTATTTGATGTTTTTCAGACCTTTTTTTGGGCATCCTATGAGATCATGCTAAGTATTCAGTGTATGTCTTCGTAAATCACGTTTTCCTGTAGGAATTATTAAACAGTGTAATTTATATAAAGTTAAATACAGCAGGTAGCATCAACATAACTTAATATTGTTTTGAATATTGTTAATAAACAGAAGAGTAAGAAAACTACAAAGAAACAGGTATATTAAGTGCAATTTTATCTGAATAATTAAGCAAATTTGAACATGAATTTAAAAAGTTCATAGGAAATTTTCTCACTTAAATACTTACATCTTTATTTTTCTTAATGTTTTGGTGGCATCAAGAAAAGAAACTTGAAAAATTATTAGTCTCTTTTTATGGAAGATAACTAGAATGAGAGAAAAAGTAGATCTAGCAAATGGTTTTTATCCTAAATATTATTATTGTCTATATGCCCCCTAGTGGCACAACAGTAAGTGAGCAGAGTTATAGTACTAGAAATTGGGTTTCAATACATGTGGTAGGCATAGCACGGATAGCTCATTATGTAGCTTTGTGCTTAACTAAAAACAAACAAATTACTTTTATTTCATGTTTTTGTTTTTTATTTTATAGTTTTTCAAGCTAACTGTTGTAGCTGCATTTGTAAATTATGTTATGTACACATCAAAATTATGAAATATGGATTTTTTTTAATTCAGATAAATTTCATGTATTTGCAGTTTGTTTTAAAAGTATTTTGTATAGACTGAATGAAGGATAAATTTGTTTCATTTCTTTTTGTTTAAGGAAAATGGGTGTAACACTAAAATCTCATATCATTAATTTTTAATCTCGTTATTCTAAAGAAATGAGTATTTCAGACTACTATGAAGAATTTAATAATGTGCAAATATAAAGTCAGCATTAGAAAAAGTATGCAATTGGCAATGATTGGAACAGTTGTTTTCAAACTTTTGTGTATTTAATCATATGCTAGCCAGTGAACTATGAGAAAATTGTTATTTGTATTGAAGTATGGTGTTTGGTTTAAATTATTTAATAAAAGTACCTGTCAGGTTGTCCCATTCCAAGCAATACACATTTTAGTTCCCCATCATTACATACATTTTATCTCTTTTGTCTTTAAATCATGTGTGAACTGTAATGTGTTGTCAGTTTTAATAATAAATGTCCCTTCTATTAATATATATGATTCTGTTTTTGATAAATTTTTTATCAACTGATGAATTTATTTGTTTCCTTCAACTACTTTTGCTTCTGTAAGAGGGAATACCTGGTACAGAAAAGATAACAATAGGCTTCTCACAACTAGCTGTATTCATAATGGGGTTTTGTTTGTTAGTCACCTGTATATTCTCTTGAACTTAAAAGGGTGAGAATATTTAAAGAGTACACAAAAACTTCTGCATAATAGGGGGTTATAAGATATGGCAGATGGAGTGGAAATAAAAAAGGTAAGTATGATGAACAAATTTAAAGAATCTTTATTTTAGCTTTCAGTTCCCTCACACTCGTGAAGGGTTAACTATGAACAAACAATACACAGGACAATTGAATATCTACTGTATTTTCCTTAAGCAAGAAAAACAGAGCTGATTTTGGGTCTTAATAATTTACCAGCTGAAATAGGACTCAAGTAATTCTGAGTTGAAAGGGCTTCCCTTTTTAGGTACCAATCAGTTACAAACCAGGTTGGTGACAGTTCTTTCTTTTCATGTGATCACATCAGTAACCCCACAAGGCTAGTTTAAGTGATTACAAACCTCAACAGACGAACATGAGTATAAAAACTGCCTGAAGTGGTGTTAATCATTGATGTAGCAAACCCTAGGGGCATATTCAGCCCAAGTCAAATATGTTTGTTTAAACTGGAACTTGAAATTAAGGACCAAACGTTTACTGAATTTTCAGAAATAGAGATAATAGAGATTTAAATTAAGACACGTTCTAATGATAATATGCTGTTAGCTACAGGAGCCTATCCACATGTCGTAGATTACTACATATATTACTGTTAAATCCCAGGAGAAAAATATCAGTTTACTTATTTAGCTCAGCCAGAAAATAACGTTTTTTGCAAACCTTTTTCTCCAGTCTAATAAATAACATTTAAACAATATTTTTTCTTCAGTTCTCAAGTAAAAAGAATTTGTGCCAAAATTTATTTATTGCTACTGCTTCTAATTTTTTAACAAATGACAAATAGATTTGGCAAAACTTGCACACTTTATTTCAATGTGAAATACTTTGTACTAAAAGTTGCTGATTGATAAACAGTCCCTGATCGTATTCTCAAGAAATAGGTTTGAAAGAAACTGATAATATTCAGAAAACACAAGTACACCAAGCTTACTCAGTAGGAACAGCATATTCTGAAGGTATTTATACATTTTAAAGGTATATTTAGTAGTAGAATGTTAGTAGTGTTGCTATAAATGGAAGTGTGTATACATGATTAACCAAATTTTATTCTTGGACTTGATTACTGGTTATTTTGACTGAACCCACTTAATTTCAACTTTTTTTTTGTGTGTGCAGTTTCTTTATAATTTATTTTAATGCATTGTAACTCTGATTTTAATTTCCTGGTGGATTGTATTAGTACATGTATATATAATGTTTCACTCATCACCAAAAAATAAAGAAGCTAATTTTTAACACTCTTTAGAAATTTTGGATCTGAGTATACTTCCAAAAAATCTAAGTCATTAGTTATGTGCATGTTTCATGCATCCTGTTTGGAGAATAAGACTGATACTTTGCAATAGTCTTGCAAATGCCTGTTAGAGGTCCTGAAGGTGAGCTTATTATTCCTTAAGAACAAGGTATTCAACATCCATAAAATAGAAAAAAAATCTTGAAAGGAGTATATACTAAGAAAAAATAGACTTGAACTTGACACTCCAATATAAAAAGATGCCAAAATAAAAGTTATGCATATCTAGAGAAATACTGAAAAGAACTTAGGGTAGACATAAATCTAGGATCATATAAATCAAGAGATGGCATTTGATAGCTTTCATGATTCATCTTAATCTTGCAGCAGTAATAAAAAAGTAGAGTGTTTAAAAGAAAGTGTTAAATACTTTGAAACCATATTGCAAAGAAGTCGTGAAATTCTTGGGTAAAACATGCAGTGCCATAACTAGACATCATGAGAAAGCATAAAATTGGCAAGTCTGTGATTTCTCAGAATTCAGTTTGAAGAATATACTCTAACACTAAGAAAAGCAACAGAAATGCTCATCAATGATATTTAATAATCTTAACAGATTTTTGACACAACTTCCAAAATTCCTTCATCCCGAAATGAAGAAGAGTAAGAACTAATTGTTTAACTTTGATGTGGTTTCTACTGTAAATTCTTCTGAGGATACAAAACCAAAAGGAATAAAATTTTGGAAAGGTGACTATTTTGGGCCTGATTCCCATAAAATGTACTAGTACACAATAATTAAAGGCACATCTTAAGGTAAGTAATGTTTAGAAAAAGAATAAGTTGCTAAAGAGGATAATTGAAAATGAGTAGAAAACAACTAACATAATCAAATTAAGTTTACGTATGTAAAAAAAAAATATTTAAACAAAAAGACACCTCCATCTCTTAGGCAAGTGAGTTATCCAGACAAACAAACAAAAATATCTTCAAAAGAACCCTCTTCCACATTCTGTAACTGCTTAATTCTATCTGCACAGATTCACAAAAATGGAAAAAAATAAACAAAACTAGAATAACTAGACTGTTAAATAGTCTCTCATAACATGAAAGTGGAGGATACATATGTAAATGAAAAAATACAAACTATGTTTTGCAGGTGTAAGTTGTTAAAAATAAAAATGCAAAATTTAACAGAAGGAACCTTGAGAATGAAATATGAAGTAATCTATCACACAAAAATAAAAGAGTTGGAGCCCAAGAAAAAGAATCAGTTTGAATAGTATGTGAAGCTCCCCGAGAAAAAATAGAAACTGGAAGTTTTGTAACAACAAGATTTATAACATTAACATTGAGATTCATTATGACACCAAAACACAACTGCAATGTAAAATTCATAATGGCTAATAGCAGATTAACTTTAAAAAAAAGCAATAAAAATAAAGTCAATTTGATATTAAACAGTAAGGCTATAATTCCTTGGAGCAGCAAACAGTTAGCATTTCATCACAAAATAAATAATTTGCAAAAGTAGAAAGTTAAACACATGCATAGTACTCTAAGTAACCTTCAGTGAAGGAAAAACACTGTATCAAAATAAAAATTCTATATGATCTATTGTATTTATATTTGAAATATTTCAGTACTTGATATAAATAAACATGTGGCCACTACCTACTATGAGGGTGGAAGAGGACTCGTAATTCTAGGGACTTTAAAGGAAGTAGCAGAAGCTTTGAATATGAAATTTGTTGATGGACTAGTTTACTGTTACACCTTAAGTATAGTAACATTCAACAGATAAATCTACTGTTCTAGTTATGAATGACTTTTCATTTTTTGTATGTGTGTGACCATGATCATAATAGTTTTATCTATAATTTAAGGAATTAGGTCTTTCATGTTTGTAAAAATAGTGACAGAGCACTGTTGAGACAGCTTTTTTAATCCCCACCTAAAAAAACAAAAAACTTAGTGAATGAACCAGAAACGATTTCATAATAGTGTGATTGACTACTACTACTACTACTAGGTTATTGGCATGGTGGTGGATAAGCCACTGTTGCTAGTAGCAAAGCTAATAGAAGTTTAAGGTGTATTTATAGACATACTGATTGCTAGTCAAGAGGTAATTATCTCTGATACACAAATCACCAGTTAGGCCTCACTCGGAATACTGTGACAGTTATGGTTTCCTTATCTAAGAATGGATATTGACTTATTGCAAAAGGTTTAGAGGAAGGTTACTAGGGTGGATTATTTTATGGAGATAAGTTAAGATCTCATTTTCTCTTCAGAAAAGAAGGGTAAGGGGTGATCTTATTAAGCCTTACAAAATTATCTGGCTGACTGATAGGATAAAGGCTTCTGATTTCTTTCAGCTATATTTTGAAGATAATTGGATATAATAGTATAAGTTTAAGATTTGGAAAAGACAGGATAGGTTCTAGTTAAGACATTTTTTATTTTTCTAACAGGACAAATGAGTTACTGTTAGCAGAACAGGGAACCCAGAACTTCACAGAGATTAAGAGGGGAATCAATAATTTTCTAAAACATTAAGGATTGATTCAAGTTAATACTATCACTAAAGGAATGGGTGTACAGGGATAACTTTCTTGTCAAAAACAAAATATACTTCATCCTTTGAAGTTTAAGCTAAATTATATATTGCCAATTTGCTAATAAAGAGTAATTTTAATAATGCACATACATCAACGTAATTGTATGGAATACTCATTGCAATTATAAATACTCCTGATATATTTTGTACCACTTAAAACTTGTGTAAGAAATTCCATATGAATCAGACAAGAAAATACAATAAAGTAAAATAAATACAAGAAGGTATAACTAACATATGGCCCATTTAAACATCATATCAATATGGCCTGTACAGTTGTACTATTTTCCATAACATTAACTTGCAGTTTTATTTCTCTCTTTTTAAAAGAATCATGTTCTATGAATTCTTCATATACCCTGCTGTTACCAGTTCAATATTTGTTTGTGCTAGATCACCAATGTATAATGTATTAATTATATTTAAACAAGTGTTTATGTTTCCTAGATGTGTATCAATTCAGGACTAAAACCTGAGATAAAGCCCTTTCAAAGTAGAAGCTACTAATTTTAAACTTATAATGATACAAAGTTTTCAGAATTATTAATTAACCTAATGCAACAAGTCAATCTCTCATTTAAAAAACTTTAAATAAATATCATTAACTTCAGAGAAATTGAGGCCATGTAAGTTGTAGTTTCCTCACTTTGGAAATATTAATTATGAATTTCAAGCTAACTCTTAATTGTCATACTCAATCTAAAAATCAAAAACATAATGATGTTCCACATTTAAATAGTTCATGAAGCAAGTTTTTTCTCTATTTAATAGGCTGTTTGGAAAAAAAAAAGCAAGCAAATTTTCATATTTTTCCAAAATTTGAAATACATTACCTTTATAACTATATACTAAAATCATCTTGGCTTTCTTTAATATGCAGAATTATTGAAATGAGAAGCTTAGTATTA